GACTATCAAGACAGTCCTGTGGATGTTTCTTGGGAAATAAATTTCCTTGAGCTATACGGGACTTAGGTGGACTCCACGCATGGCATTAGGAGTCCTGCTGTGTCCTGCTAAATCTGTTCATATCTTAAAGACCCTGGCAGTACACATGGGTAGTTGTACTGGAGGTGACCGAAATGTTGTTACATCCTTCCGAATGCCTCAAAGCGACCATTTTCGCACAGCTAATCGGTGGTTTCAAAATGGCCGCCGAGTAAACAAAATGGCTGCCCGCTGTTTTCTGGGACGGATTCCTTGCTTAAAAGACACTGAAAATGGCTGCGCTATGGAGGAACTTCGCTGAACGGTGAGTTTTAAGCCCCTAGGAACGCATTAATCGGGTTTTAATGCGTTTCTATGGGCTTTTTAATATCACATAGCGATGTTTTTGTTCAACAGCGATTTTTGCGGAACGAATTAACGTCGCAATGCGAGCCACCACTGTAAATTTCCTTGAGCTATACGGGACTTGGGTGGACTCCAGGCATGGCATTAGGAGTCCTTCTGTGTCCTGCTAAATCTGTTCATATCTCAAAGACCTGGCAGTACACATGGGTAGTTGTATTGGAGGTGAAAGTAATGTTGTCACATCCTTCCGCATGCCAGTTTGGCCACATGTTTTTGATGACAGGAAGACATTTGCATGCACTGAACAGGCACCAGGGTGGCAGCGGAAGCCACTAATAACTGCTGGCATAAGTCACCATTAATCTGTGATTGCCATGGAGTTCTCAGCAGGACCTGAGTAATGAGACCCTGGCAGAGGATTAAAAGTAAATAAACCAGCAACAGAGGCCGTTTGTGCCAAACTGCATTCAGATGGTGTTGAAATAATGAGCAGCAGTGGCTTTTAGCTACTGATGGATCCAAGATGACAGCCTCAGGCAGCTGTTTTTAAGGGGGCAGCAGATTTGTTGCTTCTCTTGGGGCAGCTCCTTTTGAGAGATCTTTCCTTCCTTCCCGCATCAGGCTTGTTGCCACCATGCTTGCCTGCTTCCTTGTGAACGCGGAGAACCATCCACTTTGCCTTATGAAGTCGGCCTGCTGGTGTCAGTGCTCTGACTGGCTAAAACTCTGTATGTGATTTTTAGGCAGATGTCTTAACCTGTCATAGGGGCTAGACTATGATGATCTCCAAGATCCCTAGACGTTCTACAATTCAGAGATGCCACAGCTTGTATTTGAAACATTCTTCATGCAACACAATGTTTTCTACTTCTGAGCCAAGGAGAGAAAGCCTGTAAGGAAGTGATGGCCAAAGATCACTGGAATCTGCTAGTTGATTTCTGAGTGATCTGAAGTATATTAAAAAGATATCTTGACTCCTGGGTGTCGAATGACAGCAAGAAAGTGATTGCACTCTTTCGCTTAATGGCACCTCTAATTTCAGGACAGGGTACTAGGATTGGATTATTGTGTGGATGGGCCATTTTGCTCCTCAAGGCACATTCTGGGGCTTCACATTTCTTGGTTCTGAGTTTGTGTCCTTTGCGCCAAAGCTCTAGTTGGTGGATCTCCAAATTCTACTGAAAGATACCACAAACCTGAAGTCAGTTTTTCCCTGGAATAGACAACTAGCAAGGAGGCACAGTGGCTGCAGGAGCAGAAGGCAGATGAGGGACTACAAAGCCAAAGATGGCTTCCATTTAAGATGGAATGATACAGTATGAGCTTTCTCCAAGCTTTCATGCAAGATTTTATCCTAACTCTACTTTGAGATACCAGAAGTTGAACTTGGGGGCTTCTGAAAGCAAAATATGGTCTGGTTTACCTCAAACCATCCGAGGATCAGGTGGAAGGAAAACCAGGTGGGACGTTTCTTAGACCACTTGCCAAAGATGCCCATCCCTCATGCATTGAGAGGGAGAGAAAAGGTGCCTGTATATTGTTCTTTAGACAGTTATTGCACAAATGCAGGACCCTTACACAGTTCTGCACATCCTGCCTCTTCCCCAATGAAATGAAAGGCAGTTGTTCACCTACATGGGAGAAAGCAAAATTTGAAGACCTCACCTGGGGTTGTGTGAGAAGCTAAACCTGTCTTTCATCCTAGAGCAGTGTTCCCCAACCTTAGTTAACCAAAGTGTTCTTGGACTGCAACTCTCAGAAACCTCAGCCAGCATAGATGGTGGTGACAGTTTCTGTGGATTGCAGTCCAAGAACACCTGAGTTGCCCAAGGTCGGGAACCATTGTCCTAGAACAAGAGATACAGTTTTGTCCCTTGGCTGGCGATGCCCCTTCTGCTTGTGTGAGTCACTCTTCTGAGCATAGCTGTTGACCAAAAACTCACTAGCCCAGAGCAGCAACTCATACAGAGATGCAGTGGAAGACTTCTTGTGTATGTGTATGGGAGAGTGCTCTGGTTTCATAGGTCCCTTGTCTTTGTACACATTGTGGGCCTGAATGGAACAAACAGAAGATAATCCTTTTCCTTTAAGAAGACAATATGCTCTCTCCCTATTATTAT